ACTTAGCATTGAACCTAAAAGTTTACAAATTTGCTGGACACCATGCCAGTATGTTTTGTCACAAATCGCTTATTTTTCAAAAACCCGAAAAGTTTTCCTTGAGCAAATTTGCTAGATAATCTGCTAGCATCTAACCCTAATATAAATGCTAACCCTAACATCAATGAACTTTTCTTTATTGCAAATCTGCGCCACAAACTTAGCGCGCACCAATTCTACAATTTGATTGGCTTATTTCCTATCATTTATCATGTGATTTTTCAAATCCGATAGCCTCCCAAAACCGATACAGAACCCATCTACCATGAATACCGGTTTTGAGAGAGTCAACAGTATTTGATAAATTTGGATCTAAAAGACGTGAATATTATGGAATATGTGCAAACTGTAAGCGATTTAACACATTAAACATATCGGCCGATTTGGTTTGACCTAAAATTAGCCAATCATGATTGAGAATTATTTGTCGTTAAAATTTATTAAGTAAGTTTTTACAAAAATGGTCTTTTGAATCCATAATTAAGTACATGTAATTTCAGAGATCGATCTAAAAGCTTCGTCTGGGACTATTTTGAAAAAAATAAGAACGATATAACTTCGACCTGTAAGATTATATTAGATGATGGAAAAGAGTGTGGTGTCTCATACGATGACGGTTCAACAACTTCGAACTTAATTAACCATCTTCCCATAGGTATAGGATATTTAAAAATACTTCTTGCCGTCTCAGCAATGTCCATTAAAGGACAATTTATTAGAACCAAAAATGAATATGAATTGATACAATTAGTGAAATTGATGAGTATTTGTTGTTGGAAGAGGAAGAAAGATGAACAGATTCTTTTCAATGGTGGGATCTTAAAAAAAAATGATTTCCGATATTATCAAAAATTGCCCGAATGTATTTATGTGTATCAGCAACGTCAGACTCATCAGAACTAGTACCCTAGCCATGATGAAAAAAAATTATCAGATCACGTACTGTAGATCATTTTTTATAGATTTCTATTAGACCCCGTTCTGATCATCGCGATTTCATAAATAAAAAAAAATCAAGTAAAAATAAAAATTTTTAAAAATTTGAGCAAGAATATCTCAGCAAAAAACTGACCAAATTCAATAATTTTTTTTTATTTGAATTTTACTAATTCTATAGAATTCAAATAAAAAATTTCATTGAATTTGGTCGTTGGTTATCGAGTTATATTCGTCCAAAGTTGAGAAAAATTAACCGTCTTAAAATATATGCTGTGCCAAATTTTTTAAAACTTTGAGAGAAGATATCTCACCAACCACCTGATAAAATTCAATAAAATTTTTAATTTGAATTCTACAAATCTGTATAATTCAAATAAAAAAAATTATTGAATTTGGTCAGTTGATTATCAAGATATCTTCACTCAAAATTGTAAAGAAATTTAAACATTCTAAAATATGAGCTGCGTTGATTTTTTTTTTAGCGAAAATATCTCAATAACCTGACCAAATTCAATAATTTTTTTTTATTTGAATTTTACTAATTTATATAATTTAAATAAAAAATTTCATTGAATTTGGTCAGTTGATTGTCGAGATATATTCGCCCAAAGTTGTAGAAAAATTAACCATCTTAAACTATATGCTGCGCAAAATTTTTTAAAACTTTGAGAGTAAATATCTCAACAACCACCTGACAAAATTCAATAAAATTATTAATTTGAATTCTACAAATCTGTATAATTCAAATAAAAAAATTTTATTGAATTTGGTCAGTTGATTATCGAGATATCTTCGAAAAAAATTGTAGAAAATTAAAGTATTTTAAAGTAAGAACTGAGCCAATTTTTTTTAGCGAAAATATCTTGACAACCTGACCAAATTCAATGAATTTTTTTTTTATTTGAATTTCAAGAATCTATAGATTCAAATAAAAGGAATTTCATTGAATTTGGTCGGAGATATCTTCGTCTAAAGTGTAAAGAATTAAAATGTTTTAAGATACGAACTGCGCTAATTTTTTGATAACCATCCAACTAAATTCAATAAATTCTTTTTTTATTGAATTCTATGAATTTGTAGGCTTCAAATAAAAAGAACTTCATTGATTTTAGTCAGGTAGTTGTGAGACATCTTTGTAGAAATTCTAACATTTTCAAAATAAAAGCTGCACCAATTTTTTTAAAAAAAACTTTTGAGCGAAGATGTCTCAACAACTACTTGAGAATTCACTGAAGTTGGTCGAGTAGTTGTTTAGATGTCTTCATTTTAACAAATCTAAATTAACAATAGGGGATTTCAAAGTTAAAAGGTGGAAATCTTGAAATTGGAAACAAATTTATTTTCCAATAAGCAATGTATTAATTTTATTTCATTTTCAGATAAATTTGAAATGATGATTTTATCGTTGAAAAGTCTATTTATTTCGTTAAATAGGGATCTTCAGACACTCCCATTTCATTTTTCGGTTTTAAAATTTTGAAATACAAATAAGATTCTTCAAACTCTCATTTAATTCCAAAATGCACCACTTATTTGTTAACTTTGAAACCCCTAATGTATTAAGGTTTGTAGGTTTTTAAGAACGAAATTCCTTGATCTTACTTGGCAAATTAAATTAAAATTACTTTAAGATATTAAAAATAATTTATATGGAATTCATAATGCAGAATATGCTCATGCAGACATTCATAGTGGTAATATTTTGCAAGACGAAAGCATTAGTAAAAAAAAACAAATTAACTTTTATAAAGTACAAATGTATTCTTATTTGCTTTAAAAAGGCAAAACGTAAAATTATTTTTTACTTGCTTTTACTTTCTTTTTATTCATTGTCACGGCTGAAGTTGGAAATTATTTTTCTGTTGATATATTGTGAAGAAAAAACGATCCTCGGGTATGACGATGCATGGTGGCAATTATATAAAAGGTTGATTGCAGATAGCTTAGCCATATACCCACAATTTTACACATAAATAAAATTAGAGCTTCACTCTTTTGACCCATATTTGGTTATTATAAATTAAAACCTTTTCTCTTTCGATCTATATTTAATATGTACAAACAATGGTTGCATTGCGGATAACTTAGCCACATATCCGAGATTTTATGCATGTATCAAATTAAGGCTTCATCTATATTTGGTTATTATAAATTAAGGCTTTTCTCTTTTGATCTATATTTGATTAGCCTTGATTAAATTAAACCTCTTTTTTTTTCAGTCCACATCTGGCTAGCATTATTATCTGACCGAATTCTGTCGTTTATAATATTTCAAAGTCAAATTTGAAAATAAAGAATAATCAAGCCAAATAATTAGATAATTGAATGACTTATATAGTTATTTAAAATAGTAAAAGCTTTATAAATAATATGTTCTAAAAAAAATGTATAGCACGAAAATATTTAACATAGATCATTGAAAATATATATATAGTATGCTTTTTCAAAGTTCAATAAAATTCAAAATTCAAAATTCAAAATTCCACTAAATAATTGAATAATTTTCTCTTATACTTGAATTTATTTCTTTTGTATTATTTCAATAAAGCACACTGAGTGAATATAGTCAAGAACTTATTAAAAAGATGTGTGGTTGTTGCTATGTCAACAAAACCACTGATAATTTCATACATCCCTCTAGTACAGGCATACTAGAAGAAAATGCTACATGTAACCAATGTGCTGAAAAGTTGAAGAAAAAACGGCAAGAAAATCCAGTAGTATCAAAAAAAGTAAAATGAAAAACAGTCCAAAATATTAATGTTACCTCTGATGAACTCAGTTCTTCCTCAACTAATTTTGACATTATTGTTCCAAATGACTTCAACATTGCCTCTGATAATCTTTACAGCACTATTTCTAATGATTTTGATGCTATTACTTCTGATGCTTTTAATGATTCTAGTACTACCACTCTTGGTGCTTTTAATAATTCTGATACCATCGCTCCTGATGTATTTAATAACTCTGTTACTATTGCTAATGATGCTTCTAATATTGGCACAGACAACTTTGGTAATATTGTTTTTGATGATCTTAGTGCAATTATTCCTGATTCTGATAGTATTTCCTATAATGAAAGCGAGTATGATGTTCAGGATAATAACGATTCAGATGTAATGATATATGATCTGGATAAAGTGCATGAAATTATTGCCAATAAATTTGAAGAATTTGAAATTTTCAATGACTCTGTAAAATTTATCTTTAAGGTCAAGTTGGATCAAGACCTTCTTACTGAATTATTATTAGATCAAGACAGTTTAATAAACACAACCGATTTAAAAACAATTGAAATAAGATTTGGCAACTTGCATTTATACTTACTATACCACTTGAATCTGGATCTGGTTATTATTGGGAAATTCGAAAAATATATTTAAATAGTAAGAATAAAAAATTCTTTAGTTTAGCTACAGAATATCTTGATTGTATAATGAGAGATGAATGAGTCTGGAAAAGACCAGATGATTAGCCACCCAAAAGACAAAGTGAAGCTCGAACCTCTATTGAAAGATTTAAAAATGCTGAAAACATCAAGATCAATATGAATATAAAAGAAGGCTATGCTATTATTCAAGGAAGCCATCAAATAGCATATAAAGACCAAATTATTGTCAGGTTGAGTTTCCTAGAGAGGCAAAAGAATGGATTAAAAATAATGCCTTATGATACAATTTAAGAAGCACAGAAGTTTATAACCAGCTTTGTAATGATGAACTTATCAACCCAGAAATCTATACGATCAAGCAGATATATTATTGGATATCAGAATATACCAAAAAAACCTATATTATGAACCAAAATAATCTGCTTGTATCAGCAATGCAGTATCTTGAGCAATCTAAACTCAAAGAAAAGGGTTCAAAGTTCTTAATTACCTGGAGAATGATTTTGTGTGGGCTCTAGGATTTCTGACTCCATTACTTAAACATATTAGTGCTAAAAACGCAACTGAAATTATTATAGATTCCATGTTTAAGACAAACCAAAAATGATTCGAGCTCTTTACTGTAAATCTAAACTGTAGTAGATATGAAATGCCGATAGCATATCTATATTTTTCTCAAAAGATGGTAGGGAAGAAGTTCGAAACAGTCAGAATAATCTTATAAAAATATGGGTTGAAGTGTTGCGAATATTTTTTACTAGCCTTCGCCAAGAGAGATTAAGACCGGTATTCATTTTAACAGACAAAAATGCTGGTGAGATAGCTGCAGTCGAAGAAGCTTGGTCGTTAATTCCTCATATCCAACTTTGCTATTGGCATCTCAAACATGCTATTGATAGAAAGATCAAAGATAAAAAATATAAATCTAGCACATATTCAGCGACTAAAGCATTAGATGCTCATCACAAATTTAAGTTTATTGATCCTTTGTGGATTCAAGGTGGAGTTGGATCTATTTGTCTAGATAAATATGTTAAACAAATTCTTGAAATGGTTAAAAAACATGCCAATATGCACCCACTTATCCCACTAGCCAAAGAATCTTATTTAAATTCGAAAGAAATCTACCAGTTGTGTGTTCAAAAGGTATATCAGTTTTGTTATTCAAATAACCTAGTTAAATTATGGGGTTATTTGTGGATTAACTGGTATAATGAAAAGAACTGGAAATTATTTGCTCGATCTTCATACTCACTTGCCATGCCTTTCACATGTACTACTATGATTACAGAGAGCCATTGGAAAGTTTTCAAATATAAATATAATTATAATTATAATCGCCCGCGCACAGATCGGCTTACTCAAATTATAGCAAAGTGATTAATTCCAAATTATGAAATTAAATTGGCTCAGTATAATGGAAAATGAACTTTTCCATCATGGTGGTGTGATTTTAAAAAGGAATAGGATAAGGCGGCAGAAGCAGATATTTCACCAGATACAGAGAACAGATATGAAATTGATACAAGCAAGTGGGTATGTTCCTGCCCAGCATACTTATGTAGCTGCTATCATCTTTGCAAACATCTTGTTAATAAAAAGAATGGAAAGCAATTTCTACCAACATTTTTGGAGACAAAAAGATGACACGATTATTTATTACTTTTTTTTGGTAAAGACAAAATCCCACCTATTGTTCTAACAAATAATCCTTGAATTCGACTTGGCATGGCAGAAGCACCAGCAAAAACATCAAATAATTCCATTGAGCAATGTAGTTCGTTAAGTAACTTGCGAAATTTAGTCGTGGATACAAGTTTCGATGTTATAAAAAAAAGAAGAGAAAAATATCAATATTATAAAAGCAAATTTGATGTTGCATTAGCTTTGTATGATCAGAAGATAAACAATTTGAATTTTAAAATAGTTTTAATACCTTGGTAATGCCATTTTTGAATGAAATAGGTAAATACAAAGAAGCGTTATGAGCTCAACTCCAGCAAGGAACTTAGATGGCAAATGGAAAGCTTGTATTTTGGCTGCATTAATTATTGGCAGTGTACTATTTATGTATAATTCTAGATAAAAAAGAAAAAAAAAGTGTCGATGTACTATTAATTAATAAAGATAAAAAAAAAAAGTATCAATATTACATATTAATTAAACATTAATAAAGATAAAAAATTTTTAGAGATCATCTATTATATACCATTTTTTTCATTGGTTAGTGATGATCATCAGGACAGTGTCCAATAGAAATTCGTAAAAAAGGATCTACAACACGTGATCGGATAATTTTTTTTTGCCATGGCTAGGGTACTACATCAGAACGGTTATTTTCTGACGTTGGAAACAATATTACAGCAAAACGTACAAACTTTGACCCAGAATTAGTAGGAGAGATGCTATTTTAAAGAGAAACTGAATTTATTAGATATAATATTTCCAGCTAATGAATATTTATATGCCATGTATCTGCTTTATAACTTGTAATTTGAGATATTGCTTTTATTGTTACGTATAATTCGCTTTTTATAACACACAAATCAAATTAAAATATGCTTGCTTTGTAACTCTCAATTTGCTATTTACGATAATTAATTTATGTGACTCGAATAACTCGAATAAAACTCGAAGAATATTATTATTCGAATGATTCGAGCACTCTTCGGAGTTTAATTCGCGAGTTACGAATTAATACGAGTCCAGTCATTATTATGGTGGTTAATCACTTCACCGACGGTAATCTTACAGGATTATGTAGATTTTATGAATAAAAATAAACATTTTGGATATTCTATAGAATAGGTGGATTAGCTATACAGTAATTCAATTCAAATAAATATTTTTTTTTACTTTGTAGAACTAAGCTCTACAAATAAAAAAAAATTTTATTTAAATTAGATTACTAGATAACTAAAAATTTTTATTTTTATTTAATAGTCCCGTAAGATCATTTTCAAGACACAGACCCTAATAATCTAACTTACTTCCTGTAGCATATCTGATAAACTTTGTAATTTAGTTAATATTAAAATCCACTTTATATGATTCTACACGCGACTGTGTATACTCTCCATATACACCTGAAGTGATTCGTATTCCATCTAACCAGGTTTCTAAAACTTTATCCCCATTATTTTGAATATTAACTAATCTATTAAAAGGAATCCATTTGACTACATCTTCATAAGATGTAGCTTGAAGTTGAAATTCTTTAATACAGTCATTGAATCCTTATATCCAATTGTCCACCCTTGTGTTGTTTTCTGCGGGTCACATGCTTGACACCATGCTTTAGATGTGTTATATCGACTGCAATTTGCACATTTTCCATATTCATTATTTCTTTCAGAATTAAATTCATCCAATTCACCAAAAAATGTTAACATATATTCATTTGTGATGGTGTTTTGAGTTAATTCACGTGTAATTGACTCCCTGATTGCATATGATTTTGTGAAACTTGTATAAAGTATATAAAATATAAGAAATTATCATTACACGAACATGATATTAATTAAATTAACTATAATATAGCCTTACTTCTTTTAAAATATTTACTAAATTTTGTGATCTAGTCAACGTTTTAAGTTCCACTTTATGTTATGGTTAGTGATGCAAACGGCTCATTTTAGGTAGCTGTCCCACAAAATTTTTTCCACCCCTTGTAATAACGACTAATCGAATTTCAGGATCAGGTGTAAC